GATACACCAACATGTGCCAAGAAATCTCTGCATGGAGGGGAAGTGTGGAGGATCCCAGGATCTCTGTGTGGAGGGGAAGTGTGGAGGATCCCAGGATCTCTGTATGGAGGTAGCCCATTTCCAGTTTAATTAGAGTGATGTATCTGCCCAGGCACTGCCAGAAAGGGATGACTGGGCCCTTTGTGTATGCGTTTTCCACATGCTTCTCCTACTGGTTGGGTGTGTCTGGTTTGTAAATCCCATGTGGCCTGAGTGAAATTACAGCGTGTTTCAGCAGAAGCACAGCAATACCCACTGACATGTTTTAGAGAGGGACAGACTTCTAGGTACAGGAAAGAAGGGCAGGAAACAAAGAAATGTTCAAAGTCAGGATGTATAAACTGGCAGCAAGTGACATGGACTCAGGAAAGAGTCACAAAATAACCCCAMACAAGATGTTAAGAGAGAAAATAATGAAAAATATCCAGGTGGAACTGCCAGGTTATTTCAAACTGTCTCCAGCGGGAAATGATCACAGAACATCAAAGCAAGGTCAGATCTGTAAGATATGGATTGTCTCCAAACTAGAACATTTGAAGAAAAAAACAACTTTAGCAGGACAGGGAAGCAGTGCAATGGGAGAAGACAGCTTTTAGAAGCTGATCTCTTCAGCATTTTTCACCTGAAAGTAAAAGGTTATTTCTCCATTTTCCATATCTGCAAATTTTACTTGGGTTTCAAAGTCATTCTGTGGATCCCAGTTAAAATTCTGTCWACATGCAAAGGAGATCTGAGATCTGCATTCCAGTGGCACCTGTTTGGCTGCATCTGCAATAATTACTAGTTAATATATAGTTTTGCCAGTATAGTGACTGGAAACATTTTGCCCAATACACTGGTAAGACGATATGCYGGATTGCATAGATGGAAATATTTATGCCTGCTCCATTACCTGATCAAAACAAAGATTTAACGCAATGATTGTTTTTGAAGTGTTTCCTGAAAACCTGGAAACCTCAACAGGACCACTGGAGGGCAGCAATGTCTGAATCATTCTTAAGCACTTATGGGAATCACTTCGTGAAACTCCAAAAAAAACTTAGCAAAGAAATAATGCTAAGAAATGGAAGAAATTAGAAACTATTTTCTGCTGCTCTGATGCAAGCATGCAAAACAGTGCCATTCCTGGAACACTGCAGTATCAGTTCCCTTGCTATCCCTAAAGAATGCCACTTGAAGCATGCAGGACTTTTCTTGTTGTCAGAAAATGCCAAAAACATTAAAAAATATGCGGAGTCTTGATGCCTTGTGAATSTCAAGGATCTGTAGATTTTTTAAAAGTCTATATAAGTGTCAAGACTATTTTGTATATCTTTATTTATATACATATATATGTAAATAAATTTTAATTATATTTACATTTGAGATATGTATAATGTATTTCTAAATTAATCCATACTGTTGTAGTAACACAAGGGGGGCAAACCTTTGATTTTTATTTTTAAGAGTGTCCTAAATTTCATTATTTAAAAAAAAAACCTTTCAAACACCAAGTGAGTGAATGAGTATAATGAGTCCTCCTTCTCTAAAGAAGCCCTCTGATATTAGTGAAGATTTTGGGGTCGCTATGAAGATAAATGTATGAGCTTTTCTGCAATCATTGAAAGAATCCTATTATTAGTCCAGTGTTTAGACATTTAAAGAATTCACATTCACAGTAATTTAAGATTAYAGTTAGTCAGGTGCAGTAGTCCATTGGTTATAAATATAGAAATAATTAAGAAACATTCTGGCTGATTTACAGATTCAGGACATAACATYTGTCTATTCTTGATAAAAGAGGAGTGAGGTAAATAAAACTGGTATGGAGCTTGGTATTTTTGTAAAAAAGTTAAGATGCAGTTCCACTCTGCAATTTTGTTAGGTACACATTGCCTCTTACTTGGTAATTGAACTCTCTGTTCACATTCAAATCACATCCAGCTATTTTATATGCAAAAATGTTCTGTTACTGTCAGTCGTAGAACAAGGAGAAAGAAGGAGCTGGCCTTGTCCTATCATATGTCRTTTGGTTCCTGAATACCTGAACAAATCACCTCCAGGACTCTGATTTTGTTAGACTGCAGTGGAGAGGCCTTTTCTCAACATGTTGCTACCAGAAGAAAGGATGGGTTTGGGCAACAGCTGGACTTTGAAGAGTCCCCATGGGATAACAAGGAGTGTGTGGGGACCATCTGAGGAGTGTGAACAAAATAAATACAGAAAAGCAATAGCATCCTGAGAAGACATGGAGACTGCTTTAAAAAGTGAARTAGTCTAGATTTTAGCAGAATTTTATAATTCCTCTAAGGTCTGTGACAGCATTTGGGCATATTTGATTTCAAACTAGCTTGTGCCTRGTCCTGTGGACTGAGAGCCCACTAGCTGATGGAGCAGGTCAGATGATCCTGGAGAATTCAGTTTCAGCTTCATTTCTTCCAAGACAAATCCCACCATGCTCCACACTGCACACAAGCATCAAAGGGGGACTCTCAAAACCTAAAACTCACCATAAAATTCAAACTTACATGGTACAGAGGGGAAATACAAGGTAACATCTCTGGTAGAAGTTGTTCATGGCAGTTAGAGAAAGGGTGTACATTTACACATATAMATATTTATAACGGTATATTTATACCTAAAAATGTAGGATAAAGTTGCTGTTTGGAGTTTGTTTTTTTTTTTCCCATTCTCTACATGCATGAGTCTCTCTTCAGCCTTTGGAACTTAAATATCTTATAATGTTGTTAAAGAAGATGATATATATGCAWATTGTTCTTAATGTGCATCATATTTATATGGAAATGTGTATGTACATATATATATRTGAATTAAACAGTCTTAGAATAGAAACTGTGGCATTTATTTTTTAAGTTTATCTGAGTAAATTATGATGGCATAAAAATGGAAATCTAAGCAAAAATATCCTATTGTCATATGGGAAAAAATTGTGCATTGCTCTGCAACAGTGGTTCAAGCCCCTCCTTCTGATCCTGCAKTTGGCTTCTGGGAAGATGGATCTCACCTTCCCTTCCAGATTTTATGTACTGTAGTTTGAAAAACAAAAGCCAGTTTCTAAGCTGAGATTATGTGCTTGGCAAGTTACTGAAAGACAGTAAAGATGAAAGTACAGAAAGTTTTTTCCACAGTCAGTTTTCATATGCTTCTATATATTGTTTTAAACAAAAACATCTGCTTTACTGTCACTCTTTTAAAGTCTGGGGAAAAAAAAATCCTTTTTAAAATGCTGGATTTTACTAACGTTCCAGTTAGCAAACAGATGTTAAAATCAATTGTAATAGCACATSATGTGAAAAGTTGGACGTCTAATATGGAAACATGTTAAAATGTGGATGCAGTGAATTTTAAAGGCAAGAACCTACAAACCTGCACAGAAAGAAAGTTGTTTGAGAGCACAAAGCTGACAAGGAGCGGCAGAGAGAGCTGGGGATGCTGAGCCTGGAGAAAAGGAGGCTCAGGAGGCTTTCTGGCTCTCCACAACAAGGAGGGGGCAGCGAGGTGGTGGTCAAGCTCTGTTTCCAGGGAACAAGGGGCAGGACAAGAGGAAATGATCTCGAGTAGCACCAAGGAAGGTTTAGGTTGGATATTAGGGASAATTTCTTTGCTGAAAGTATTATCAATCATTGAAGTAGGCTGCCCACAGCAGTGGTGCAGTCACCACCTCCTGGAAGCATTCAATAGGTGTGTGGATGTGGCACCTGGGAACATGGTTTAGTGGTGAACTCAACGGTGTAGGACTCAATGATCTTAAAGATCTTTTCCAACCTTAATGATTCTGTGATTCTATGAAAGCTATGAACCTTTTCTCTTGGAAAGCACAGGTACCTGGTACTATCCTTATCACACATCTGTGGTTTCTCTGCCTTAACCTTTGGAACAGGATATTGCAGATTTACCAAGCTTTCCCTTGTGCAAGCCTCCCTTTTTCACAGGAAAACTAAAACCACAGCAGTGCCTCTGGCTTTAATTTGTTGTTTTATTCCAAATGCAGATTTTGGTGAGCTGAGGACTTAAAGCTCATGACACCCTGTAGTCTCAAGCCAATATGCCACATGCCTAAAAACCCAAGTTGAATTGCAACCACCCCCTCGGTTGTCGTGGGGATTACACCCACAGCCTTTGGCTTATCTGCTGGTGGAACAACACCTGTTGGTGAATTGTAATTATTTTTACCATGGTTATTTTCCATGCAGAGTGAAACATTGCCCACCTCTGCTTCCTACACCTCCAAACATCCATGGAGCCCAATGACCCTGAGAGCGATGGTGAAGCCCAGGGGCCACAGTCTGGTTCCTTTATGCTGAGCAAAAAGAGTGGAAGAGGGGGAGGAATAAGAAAGAAAGAATAACAAGGCAGCAGGACAAGGAGAAAATCTACACCGGGCTGGTTTCTATGGAAAATATCACCGGGTTCAGCGGAGCCTGTTGTTAGCAACCAGTGTACACAGCCCGGGCGCCGCAGGCAGAGCGGGGAGATGGATGGGACGGGACTGATGATGAATATTCCCATCTCCCAGCCCGACTCCAGCGGCGGGGATGATCCCAGCCCCGTCCCGTGTGTGGGCAATCAGGAGAGGATTTGTCCTCTTCCCTCAGCTCCAACCCACGACCTGCACAGCAGCGGAGGTGCGAGCCAGGACTTCCCCATATCCCCTCACAATTCCACCAAGTCCAAACCCCTTTCGCAGGTTTCAAACCAACATTTTATTTCTTGTTAATTCACAAGGCTCCTCGTCCTCAAAAGATCACAAGTACGTGGCGGGGCGGAGAAGGGGTACGAGCCCCTCAGAGACTCGGGGTGCCGCACTCAGCACCCAGAGCGCCGGCGGGGCTGTGAGGGGTGATGGCGCTCGGGAAAGGGAAGGGGGGCACCGCCATCGCCCCGCCAGGCCGTGCCCTGCCCGCCCGCACCGTCACTGGGCAACGGCGGCGGCGGGAGCCCGAGGAGCGGCCGGGCCGGCCATGGCTGAGGCGAGCACCAACCCCGACCCAGAGGAGCCCAGCTCCGGGCTGGACATGGCTGAGGAGAGTCCTGGCCCCGCCACGGAGGAGCCCAGCTCCGGGCTGGACATGGCTGAGGAGAGTCCTGGCCCCGCCACGGAGGAGCCCAGCGCCGAGCTGGACATGGTTGAGGAGAGTCCTGGCCCCGCCACGGAGGAGCCCAGCGCCGAGCTGGACATGGTTGAGGAGAGCCCCGGGCCGGAGGAGCTCAGCTCCGAGCTGGACATGGCTGAAGAAAGCCCCGGCCCTGAGGAGCCCAGCGCCGAGCTGGACATAGCTGAGGAGAGCCCCGAACCCGATCCGCAGGTAACGCAGCGGGGCTGGGCAGCACGGGCACAAATGGCATCCCTTCATAYAGCATCACAGTCCTACACACAGACCCAGCAAACAGACTCACACACACACACAGACCTGCACTTACCCTTGGGACACACGGACACACACATTGACAGACGCCCCTGCACACACAGACCCCCCACAATCAGCCTCACACACACAGACCCCACTGCAAACAGCCTCACAGACACACCTGCACACACAGACCACCCTGCAGTCAGCTTCACACACAGACCACCCTGCAGTCAGCTTCACACACAGACCACCCTGCAGTCAGCTTCACGCACAGACCATGAACAGCCTCGCAAACACCCACAGACCCACAGCCTCACACAGACTCCCCTGCAAACAGCCTCTCACATCTCTGCATACACTGACCCCCACAGAAACAGCCTCACACACCCGCACACACCCCTGCACACACCCTGGGGCACAAACACGTGCCCTGCACAAGGACTAATACACACACACACACACGCATAGCCCCTGTAAACATGCTCGTATCTCCCTCACACACACTCTCCCCACTCACACAGCCCCTCACAGCCCCATCCGTGCACAAACCATGACACACACACTGTGTGCACACAGAGAACTGTGTCCATCACCTACACGTGCAGCCAGTCACCATGGACACACTGTCCACAGCACACACAGACAGCCACACATCAGCTGTCATGTGCCCACACATCCTTTTTCCAGGTACCTTTTCCCATTTGCTAATTCCAGCCATTTGCATGCACTCAGTGACCTCTTCCTATCCTATCTCAGGCTTTAAGCACTATACATCCTCATTTTCTTTTCTCAGGACATCTCCCACGTTCTGGCTTATGCCTTTGGGCACCTATACACTGGAGATGTTTCTGAGATGGACATGGCAGCAAATTGGATTGAGTCCCAAGAAGAAGACAGTGTTTATCAAGAGAGTTATGCAGATGAGCTAGAGAAGGTACAAGTCCAAACCAAGCTGAGGTTTGGATCTCTTTGATTGCTACTTTGTAATTTTTGATATTCTGTAAAATAAAATAAAAAGGCMGGTGTTGATCTTACAATTGACATTTTAATGGAAATTTACTTGAGCAGTTTCCCATGGAACTTTCCTATAAGTTAGTATTCACATGATCCTTCATTGTAATCTCTAGTTGGCTTTTCAGGCACAGAGTACAACCAGTAAAAACAGTAGGTCTTTTGATGCCTGTTGTACTGGCTGAAAACTTCCCTGCTGATCAGTGTCTCAGACTTCTTTTTTTGCCATTACTCCAATAGCTATTGCCAGCATATAAAAGTAGAGGCTGATGCTGGATGATTTGAGCCACAGGTATTTTTTATTGTTTTGTGTCATCATGGAATGACAGTGTTTTAGCAGGCCAGTTTATGCTTGTGAAGTGGTGRTGTTTTACCAATCTATATCTCTCAAAGACAAATAGAAAATACCTACCTGTAACATCTCAAATTTCTCTCTATTCACCCATGCCTGTGGCAGCTTCTTGCTGAGTATAAGAGCCGACTGACAGAAGCTGACAAAGCAGAARAGGAGATCATTCAGGCCCAGGCCCAAGCAAAAGCTGAAGATGAAAGGGTTCTAAAGCAGATGAAGGCTAAAGCAGGGAAACATTTTGACAAAATGTTGCTGCCACCAGGTGAGGGTTCTGGAACATTGCTCCCCAGCACATGCTTATGATACCTGGAGATCAACTTGGGGTTGACTTTACATCAGCAGAGCAACTTTGAAAGATTTTGTGCAGAGATTCAAGTAGAGTAACATCTGTTTAACACTGAGAAACTAAACAACCAGGCCATGTTCAAGGTATTAAATTTGCAATTGAGGGGTTACCACCTAAATATTACAACTATACATATCTTGGTATACAGGAACAACAACCAGAGATTAAATGTTTTTCCAATGTGTGCTTAACTGGGTTTGAATTGAATTTAGAATTGTAGAGATGCATGTCTAAGTCTTGGGATTAAAATATCAGATTATATCTCTATTAAAAATATTACCTGACAGGGATGAGTTGTAAAAACATTACTTTGGATTGATCAAAATAATGTATTCTAAGGGCCTAATATTTTTCTTTTTTTTTATTGTCTTTTGTCTGTTGGCCTTACTGTTGCAGTGGCATCCTCTTTTCAGTGGATTGTGGATAATGAACTTCTCAGAAGAAATAATTTAATTTGTCCTGAAGATTACATCACTGAGAAACCACCTCTTGCTAAAGCACCAAAAGGTAACTTCCAAAGCAGAAAGTAATTTAGACTATTTAGAACACTCTATAATTGAAGTATTGGAGGATGTAGCAGATCTGASTGTATTTTTATACTTTTCTGCCAAAGCAGAAGGGACTCTAGTATTTTAAGCATAAAATTCCACTGAGGGCACATTGTGAAAGTATAATTGGTAAATTCAAATTTTTGGAGTTTAAATGTGCTGAAAGGTGAAATGTAATGGTTGTTGCACATTTATTTATGGTTCTCTCCATCACACACAAAAAAACTATTTGTGAGTTCCATAACCAATTTAATTASCACAAAAGCTGAACTGCATCTTGTTCACAGAGAAAGGAAGCAGTTACATTAAAGTGAAAACTATTTTCAGTGAAATAAAATCGTGTTCTTTATTTAGGGTATAACGTTTTCCAGTTCTGGAAATATATCAGTTCAATTTGCACATGAAGATCAGTAAGAAAAATATTTTSGATAATGTCAAGAATTCTTCTTTTATTTATGTGTGAGCCAAGATGAAAGGTTTTAGGGTAATTGAAATGAGTTTTTTCAGTCAAGCCAAAACTAATATATCAGAGCAATCAACTTTGTCACAAATTTCAAGGTTTGGTGTTTGTTTTTTTCCATTGTGATTCCAAACAAACTGAAAAATCTCACATCTTAAAGTTGGTCACARTTTTGCTGTCTAGCAATAGAAATATGGGACTAGATAGGATACATCCTGTTTTTGTCAATTTTCTGACTGTMATAAGTCCATCACATACATATTTTTGTAAATTTCACAGAACATTCCAAGTCCCACTCCTTTGTAAGGTTAACGTAATTTTTGGGTATATATCTTTGTATATAGCCTGTTTAATTAGTGCTTCTAAAAGTTTTCTTATCAAAGCACTGAGCTTCATTTGTACTAAAAAGAAGTTATAAATGGAAATTAAATTCTGGAGGATTTTTGCCATCAGCAAGACTTAAAGTCATATACCTATGCTTAGACTAAAATGCTTATTATTCATGTTTTCCTTTCACAAAATTATATTTTTTCTTTGAATTGCAGGAAAGTCAGAACCTGGATACCTGAAAGGGACACGTAAACAGCGTCCTTTTTCGCTGGACCAGAGTACCTCCYCAACTGGCAGTGTGACACGTGTGTCTTCAACTCTGCCCTCAACTTCACACTCYAGCCACCAGACTAAAACCATGAGTAAGGTACATTTTACAACTTTGTTTTAATCCGTCAGATCTGCAAGGCCTGTTGCTATTTCTGTAACAAAAGGTGAGTATCAACACATTGTTGATTTGGCTCTAGCACTGAATTTATTTGTTAAAAAAAGGGAAATACTGTTTTGCACATGAATTTTCACTGCTGTGTAGCTTTAATCAGATGTGTGCAGCTCACTTTTTCATCATCCTCAAAATCACTGTGTTTAATGTTGCACCTTGTACTCTTGTTTTTCAAAGAAAACTAAAGACTCCCAGAAACGAGCAGGGAAAGAAAGTGAGTCCTGGAAAGCAGAGGAAGTAAGCGAGTGCTTTGTCAGGCTTAAGAAAGCACAGAATTACTTGAAAAACCCACGCTTTTTCCCACCAAATACTCTCCATGGAGGCAAATCTCTTGTAATTTCTCAAGAAAAAGTGGAACAAATCATGGCCAGAGGAAAAGCAGAAGATACCAAAGGGTATGCAGTATGTACAGTTTCTGGATTCTGAGCTGGAGCACACAGAGATCCACTATAGAATTGCTGTGGATATATCCGTAGATATTTTGAGCTAAATTTCTAATTTCTAATAGTCTCTTAATAACAAATATGTCTGTATGACATTTTGTTTTTGCCAAAGGAGACATTTTGCAATTTTTCATTTTATCAGTATTTAGAGAACAAGGCAGTAGGATAATGTCTCCTTTTTTTTAATCTTCCAGTGATACTTCATCTGTTCCCGTGTTTCTTGCCAATCCACCTTCTGTCCTGTTTTCTTATGATAAAGCTGGGCGGGTTTATGAGGTGAGAAGGTTCTTTGTAGAGTTAATTATGCCTCTCTGAAGAATTACRTCCTATCATGATCTACATATTTCACCCAATCTTTAGGCTTTCTGAATTTCAAAAAAAGTCTGAATTTCTTCTGTATATTGAATTTATGACCCTTTAACTTCTTGAAGATACTCATTCACACCTGCCACTGACAAACCAGTGAAGTCTAAATGGGCCCTTCTCAGTCTCTGCTTTGTTTTGGTAGTCTCTGATTCAGCCTTTATTAAATAAATTGGGATTTTAGAGTTTGTTGTGATGAAGTASTTACTACTAGCAGTATTAGAAGTACTAGGGAATTTCAAATATTTTAATGAGTGATGATAACTACAATGGAGCCTTTTATTCTCTTTGTAAATGAAGAGGACTGTAGAGCTTCGGAACATCACTTCAACAGGTCAACATGTGAGACTCATCCCCCCTTCTACTTCAGTATTTTTCATTTGGCCAGGTGAGARTTCTTCTGCCTTTAAAATGTTAACACGTAAAAAAAAATCTAATTTACTTGCTCTAAAAATGATTCTTCAGAGATGTTCTGTTTTTGTTCTTATATCCATAGTGCTCAGTTCTGTATAAACTGAAAGCTGACTTAGGACCATTCACATGCAACTCATCAGCAAACTGAAATGGTCTAATGAGGAGTCCAAGAAGACTAAATTGCAGTGTTTGATGTTAGACTGAAATGTATCCGTGGGATACCTAGATCAATAYGTAGATCCAAAATTCAGCTAGGAACAGATGTAGTTTCCACTGAAAAAATTAGGAGGAAAGGGCAAGAAATAATGCACTTCACTTGCAGTAAGGAAGGATAGGTTAGAGGAAAGTTAAGAAAATCTATCCTACAGTAGAAGAGCCAGGCACTGGGATAGATTGCCTAAGGGGATGTGATATCCCAGGAATTGGAGGAATATTTAGAAGTTAGATGCCTCCGTGTAAGCCCTTTTGTCCTGTGGTAAAGAAAAACTGGGTGATGTCTCTAGGTTTCTCCTGAGTGTTTTCTGTGTTTATGAGAAGCATATTTCAGACAGAGTAATACTTGAGCTCCCTGGAACATATGCACATTCACTGCCAGGCCTGTTGTGCTCATCCCTTTTTATCGGCTTGACTTAGGCAATAAATGGGGGGGAGTTAACAGGCACCTTTCCAGAGGAAGATGTGTCATAAATACTACTGCCAGTTTTGGGAGGTTTTAATTTTTTTTTTTTTAATTTTCTGTCTTTTTTTTTATTTCCCCCCCCAAAGGAAAATATCCAGGAGAGGGAGGACTGATTGCTCCTGGGATGACGTGCCAGTATACAGTCCAGTTTATTCCTCAATATCTGGGAGAATATGAAGATCATATATTAGTGGAGACTCTAGTATCAGAACCTTTTCTCATCCCAATCCAAGCTAAAGTATCACTTCCAGTATTAACATGTTAGTAGTGTCCAAATATTAAATTTCTCTAAAGTTAAGTAGACTTGTTTTTTTTTTTTTTTATTTGACTGTCATCAACCGTGTCACAAAACAAATGTGGAAAATATTGGCAGTGCAGTTTCTACATTTTGATACCTATCTCATTTTCACTCATCATAGATTTATTAGTTATTAAAATGTAATMCTGTTGAATTTTTCCTCAATTATTTGTTCTTACCACATTAAGCTCTTATTTTTTTTCACTGTGTTGGGGGAGTGAGTAGAAGCCACACTTCTATGTTCGTGGTTTGTTGATTACTGAACTCCCAACTGTAACTACTAATCCTAAATATTATTGAATAACAATTGAATTATAACTATTTGATGCTTTTAATTAATATTAATGGAATGAGACATTAATTATATATGGACATGGCATACCTAAATCTCTCAGATATTTAATCTCAACTATAACAAACAGGATTACTTCCTCCACAAAAATTTGCCTTGATTTTTAGTAAATTCACCTTTACTGTTTTACTGGGCTTTTTTAAAAAATCCTTTATAKGATACAATAAACTTTAAAGGAGGAAGCATCATCAAAATGTAAGATGAATGAAGAAATATATATCTCATGCTGTCCAATTTCCAAATGGAAAGAATTTGAGGTGGTTTAGGATTGCAAAATCTGGCATGTTCACATGCAGTAATATCTGTAAAGAGTTATTTAATCAGCAGCCTTTGCTGTCTCTGGAGTCTGATTTTCTGTGTTACTCATTGCAGTGCCTGACAKTATAGACTGTGGTTTCTGCCTTGTTGGAGGAATAAAAACAACAGCAATTCCATGYAGAAATGAGGGAGTTAGGACTGCAAAGTTCTGTATAATGCCAGGGAAAGCCTGTCCAGCTCCTAATTCTGGGGTGAGTGATTAGAAGGGAAATACTGGACACAGCATGGTGCAGGTGCTCTGGTGTGAAGGCCTTTTGAGCCAGTCATGGTGTATTAGCACAGAAGTCATAAGGCCTTGCTGGAGACATCTGCCTTGTTCCATTCCTTCAGGAAACCACATTTATCCTCAAGGCCAATCTCCATGGATGGCTGTACTTTCTTGTGCTTTGGCTGGCCTTTGGAAGAAGTTGCCTTGCTCAGGGGCAAGGTAAACTAATGCAAAGATCATGGAAAGTAAAATTGGCTTGCACTTTAACCTGACCCTTCAAACAAATGCAAATGCAATCAGTGCTAGTGTTACCTGAAGTAATTTCCTTCCCTCCTCCCCAAAATCATCTCTTATTGATCTTGCTGCACCTGTAGACACAGCAATCCACTCCAGCCCAGCTTTGTCTTCAGCTTCCCATCTCAAGCCAGGGCCTAAGTSTGATGGACAGAGGAGATAAAATGGGACAGGTGGACTGGCATTTTTGGTGCTGGAGAAAAAGCAGATGGCCCAGGTTGTCCCTCCTGAAATTCTACAGTGATTTTTAGTGATTCTAAAATCACTCAAAGTGATTTTAAGCAAGGAGAAACAGACAGAGCCCATCTCTCAGGCAGAGCTGCTCTGCTGTGAACATGACTGTTAGGGCTTCTGCCAYTGTCATTTGACTTTAGAGACTGCATTTTCCCTCCTGCTTTCACCAAGGYCATTATAAACCAGGGAGAGTTTTCTTTCTAATTAAGCCATACATAAGAGCCACATTCTTTTGAGATGTGTGACAAAAAAGTATGGTAAGAAGTAAAA